ACAACGGTTGATGGTGGAAATGTAGTTATTTATAGTCAGATATTGTTGTTTTGCACCTGACACGTGCATTTCCCTTTCTTAGAGTGGGGAATTATTTATTTTTTTATTTTTTATTTTTTCTGATGGAGCATCTTTACCAAAAGGTTGATTGCAGTATATATTGTGCGCTCGTGTTAAAAATAAAAAATAGAAAAAGTTCGAATATTGTCTTTCAATTTGTTCTTATGAATTATTTTATTAAAATATCATGTATATATGTGGATGGTACTTGTGATTGTGATTTTTTTTTCCCAATAAACAATCTTTTAAAAATATCCAGCGGTATGAGAATAGCAGTAGATTCAATCTTAGAAGTGTGTGCAATGCATATATTGTATTATTTATTTATTTATTTTTTCAACCATTGGATTATATATACAAACACATGCCTATACGGATATATTTTGATCAAACGGTGAGAACATAGTGCACACACTCATAGAGTGAAATCTACGGCAGTACAAAGTCGAGCTCACCTAGATGTAAATATTCGCAAAATCATATATATAAATATCATTTTCAATATCATACATATTGGTTAAACTTATCTATCAACTTTAAATTCACATCCGGAATTGATGAGCAAGATGTTGGGTGGTCATTGATTGAATTTGGACCTTGCAGTCTTTTTCATTTTCTTTCTTTCTTTCTTTTTTTTTTTTTTCCCGAGTAAAATTCTCTTTTGGATGTAATTCTCATTCATGCTAAAAGCANTTATTATTATTTTATTATTTTTTTTTAATTTTTTTGTTTCAACTCAAAAATTGGCCTTTACAACTTATGCACCCGAAGAGATTTGAACTCCCGACCTATGAAAAACCTCGATGCCACCAAAGTTTGACGTAATCAATAATCACAATGCTGTATATAGTAAACGTCATTAAGCGAACCTATATTCTAGGCTCGATCTAGAAATAATGAGATTATGAAAATTCGAAACAGTTTGATCTAGAGATATCATGAGAGATTATGAAGATTCGAACTAACGATAATTTAAAAAACCTAGCTAGCCTACTCCATTAACACCACCACCACCACGTGTGAGAAGAAAATTAGGTCATATTGTAATAAAGCCATGCAATTTTTTCAACATCAAGATGCCCAAAAATAATCAAAGTTTGATCTTCGTGGTCCCCTTGTTGGAAAGAATATTAGTCCTCAATACATATTAAGAGATGCACCTTTCTTTTTCCTTGTTCTTTTGCAGTTAAAAGAAAAAAATCAATAAATAAAGTTACATATTATTATTCTGTCCCGCACGTTGAAATTCTCTTTAAAATAACTTTTCTTTTCTTTTTCTTGCTTCACGTAATTCTCTACTCAATCCTCAAATACAATTTAGAAGCTTGGTTCTGAAAAAAATAAAAAAATATACTTTTTAATTATTGATTAGTTGATGGAAAAAGAGCATTAAAATCTCCGGAAAGATTACGCATGCTTAGGTAATATTGAGCTATCTGTACGTTTTCTTTTTGTATCCTTGAGTATAATTCAGTAGAGATTTTTTTTTTCCTCATTAGTACGCCTTATAAGTGGAACTAGCACGTAGAGTTATTTCCACAGAATTTGTCCGTTAAGTAGCTCGTGCGATTCACGGGAGATATTAAATGAGTGGACCATAGGGCTTGTCCGTCCAGGCTTAAAAAATAATAGAGTTTGATCATCTATCTTTTTACATCTTTTCATCAACGTCATTTTTTTGTCGGAACATTAAACCTGATTCTGGTAGCGCTATCCCGTAAATTACTTAATATATTATCTCGCTCGCATGTTTATAATAATATAAATTTGATTTCATTATATATATTTATTCATTGATATAAGAAAAATAACAATTTTACGTAATCTTGTTCCTCGTATAATACTTGTATTATTTCATTATAAAATTTATTGTAGTATAATGTTATTATTATTATAAGTTATAGATGTAATCTTCTTCTTCTTCTTTTTGTTTTATGTAATTAAAATATTTAATGTATGTTCATATTATTTATTAATGTAATTAATTTAAATTATGTAAATAAATCTAAAGTAAAACATTTTGTACAAACATTTTACAAAATATACACAAATGTTTTTTTATAATTTAATTTTTTTACAATAAATAACAGCTTTGAAATTCTATGCCATTATTAAAACCGATTAAATCTGCTTTATTAAAATCGATTAAATCTTTATTTATAGGCTTGATATTAAAACCGATTTTATAAGATTTTTTTAACTAAATCTATACTTACATTTGACTTTTCCAGCAAAGGTAAAAAAATCGGTTCTGATTTTTATCCTATAACAAATCTTTAATGTCAAGTTATAAATACCAAAGCAAATCTGTAATTAATGTCATTCTATTTCCAACAAACATTAATTACTTTGACTTTTCTTTATACAAAATCTGGTAAATGGGATACCTTTTAATATAAGTATAGATTGGGAGTTAATTTTGTTAGTGGTTTTATATACCATATATATAAATATATATAGGGCTAACCTTTATGAAGCGGAAGCAAAAACTTGCCTGCATCTTTTATTCGTCGGCTACTAGAGTAATCGGTATCCTCCACGCTCTAAAACTCGAACCGTCTTTGATGGTTTCGGCTCGACAAGAATAAAAACACTAAGGATATGATTGACAAATTTTAATAGTATATTTCTCTAACTTATTTTCTTGTCTTGTATTATCTCATTTCAAGATGCACAAAATCACCTTATTTATAGTTGTCTTTATACAACTATACATTAATGAAGTCTTCAAATTTTAATTTACTGGTGACTGCAGTTCAGTCATCGAGTTTTTTACTGTTTGATTAACATACAGCCATACCACATGGATGTATGTTGATCTCACAGCAAAAAATCTGGTGACTACAGTGCAGTCACTAGTTGAGCTTTTTTACACACACGGATCAAGATAAAATCATCGACCTTTTTTTTTCTTTACCTTTTGATCAACACACACATCCACATGAATGTACGTTGATCCAACGGTAAAAAAACTCGATGACTATAATGCAGTAACTAGTAGGGTTGACTGAACCAAAATTGATAAAGTAAAAAAAAAATGTAAAACCAACCAGACGTGAATGAATGTATGTATGTTGATCTAACGGTAAAAAACTCAAAGGAGTAAGATCACTAGTAGAGTTGAACCAGAATTGAGAAAGTAAAAACAAAAGGAAAAAAATGTAACAACCATACTTTTTACCGTGTGGTCCTCACTCTAGAGATGCTAAGAAGATTTTGTGGTGTAGTGGCCATTAAGGAGCTTTCACTTCTTTTTTGAACTCCACCCTTCCCAATTTCCTTCTATTGCAAAACCCTTTTTTTATTTTTATTTTTATTTTTTTTATTTTTTTTTTTTGAATTCTCCATTTGCAGACCTGCAATATAGCCTTGGATTATCATGAAAAAGTGCATTCACCAAATTGTTAGATAAGAAGGGAAAAGGGGATTTATTGGCATAGCAAAAAAGTCCATTAACTTTGGCAGATGCCAAATTTGATAGGGCAACCAGTTACCGCACAATAACTAATAAAAATCAATCTCAACATGTTGGAACAACCTAGAAAATATCATGTAATTCCAGCAAATTTTCACTATCTCATATTAATGACAGATTTAATTAGCTAGTAGATATTTTTTAAAACGAAAAAATAGACTGTACCAATTTTCTGAAGTTTTACTAAGGATATTTACAGTTTCGCCATCACAACTGAGTTATGTTTGGTTACAGAATAACCTTTAATTACTTCATTTCTTTTCTTGTTCTTATTTCTTTTTCAATTATTTTTTGTTGTTTTTCATTTTTGTCCGTTAATTATTTAAAATTCAATCTAGAAAAACAACTTTTTAATCTTGTGCAAATTTTTTTCAAATAATCTTTGTCATTTCTTATTTTCATCCCATAATGAATTTCAACTTTGTGTCAACCACTTTTTGACCTACATATAAAATCAAAGCTTTCGACTCGATTTATTCAACTATCTTTTTATTTCATCATACGATATTCTTCAATCGAGTACAAATCGACATTGAAGGCTCTATAATTAATTAAAATTTGACATATCATTAGAAATTGACATATAATCAAAAATTTCAATCCATTTCTAATGCGCTCCCCCATAAAGTTTCAATCCATCTATTTTGGACAAAATTGACATATAATTAAAAACTACTAGTACAATACTCGTATTACACGGGTGCTTGTTAAAAAATTATTCTAAAATTTTAAAATTAATGAGAAAATTTATTTTATATTTTAATTACTTTATTACCAAATATATATATTATTATATATTTTAGAATGACACTTGTTACTTACTTGTGTTATATTATAATATTTCTTATAACTTATATCATATAACTACTTGAAATATAAATATATTGACATAATAAATAATTTTATTTTTTTAATTAATATTAAAAAAAAGTTTATTATTGTTATAACGATAAATATAGTTTATTTTTTTTATACATACAATATGGATGTTAAATCGAACCTCATCAAGAGATGATTAATTTGATATATTATATATGTAAAAATGATAAAAAAATATAAAAGATATTAACTTTTAAAATACATTTACAATTAAATGGTTATAATAAGAAATGATATTAAAATGTAATTAATACATGTAACATGACCATAAATAACAACATATTTATGGATAATCCAGATCTAATTATTTTTGGATTGGAAGTAAATTAATATCTACCCAAACCTAATAACGAACTATGTAATTTTGCCACATAAGATCCCGAAAAATGCGAGTCTGTCACTTAGGCTTAGCACGTTCTGAATTAATAGATAGGAAGATTGTTGCCAATTAATTGACTTAAAAATTCCTGAGCAAGAGAGATAATAATGTACTAA